GCCCGGCTCCCTCCCGCCTCGCCCCAGGCGGTCAGATACCCTGCGGCTCGTCCCCATGGCGGGCGAGGGCTTTTGTTCACCAGGAGCTGCACTGAGCGTGCCTCGTAGAGTTGGGTGGGCGACACGGACTGGCTAGCTTTTCTTTTTAAATTACTTTTAACATTTACTGAGAAACTCTCTGGCCCCAAGAGCAGCTGATGAACTTGGAAACATGTACTGAAAAGCAGTGTCCCAGTGCAAGGGTGTCAAAATGTATCTATCACGCCCTTGATCTCACATGAGGAGAAAGTCCTTCGTTCCTTCTCACACGATGGATCACAGCGGGAGAGCGTGGCCCCTAGTGGGGTCACCGCGCCCACCAAGACTCTGAGGGCCCGGCTACCAGGGAGCCCCGGGGCAGCGGGAAGCCTTGGGGTCGCATGGGAGGAGGGGGCACCCCATGCACGTGTTCCAGTGCAAGCTCGTCCTTCCCAAAGCAGCCCGCTGCAGCTGTGGATTCTGGAGGACGCCTCGGGCTGCCCCCGCCACCCAGGGCTCTGGCCCACTCACGGTTGAGCAGCCCGAGCTGCAGGAGCGAGGCCAGGGCCGTGAGGATCACGAAGAGCAGCAGGCCTCCCCGGCGCCCCAGGAGCCGCACCACCGGGCACACGGCCAGGCAGGACGCCAGGGCGATGCCGGCCGCCGTGTAGTAGGTGGCGTAGAAGTCCTCGAGCAGTGGCACCTTCACCTCGTGGCCCATCATGCTGCGTGCGAAGCAGTGGTGGATCCCGAAGCCGGTCAGCCTGCGGGGACACAGTGCCTGGGGCCGCCACCTCCCAGCGGGTGTGGGGACACCGTGCGTCGCGTCCAGGGGCAGAGCAGCCACTCGGAAGGTGGCGGGGAACGCACGTCAGAGAGGACGTCAGGGAGGGGATGTGCGTGGTCACGGCCCTGCTGTGGCCTTATGGAGGGTGCGGGCGTAAAAGCAGGGAGACCCTCTGCTCAAACGCCGTCTCTCACGGAATCCAGGCGTGAGGCAGGCACCCCCAGGGTCCCTGCATTTGAGCCCGCATCGTGGGCACCGAGGGAGCCCATCAAAGCCACTTTCCAGGCGGGCGGACAGCGCAGCGGGTGAGCACAGCCTCTAGGACGCACCGCCCGTCTACACCTCTGCCTCTCCCGGGGTTCTGGAAACTTGGGGACCTGCCCCGAGAACTGGCCCCCCACCCTCGCTGCAACTCGTGGCTCATGTGGCCTGGAGGGGCAGGAAGGGTCAGGTCGGTGAGGACATCTGGTCTTGGAGGCCGTTCAACGCTTAATTTACCGTTTCCCCCCCTGCCCTGGGTTCAGCCCCCTCCTGCCCCACAGGGTCACACAAACCCGCAGGGAAACGTGTGTCCCAGCCGCTCAGGCGGATATCCACTCTGGGAACAGGAATAAAGATGTGTAGCGTTCCCTGGGAGCACGGGGCAGCGGGGCTCTGAGGCCCCGGTGGACATGACCCATGGGAGCAGGGCTGCGAGCGCCTGCATCCGTCCCTAAGCTGAAACACCCTTCTCCCCCAGCCTCCCTCCGTGTTTTCAGCAGACCTTGAGGACGCATCAAGGTCAACTACAGACCGGGCCCTGCAGGAGGGAGCCGCCGTCCGCCAAACCCATGCGTTTCCCCTTGGGGACAGGCAGACCCGGCTCCCCCGGGCCACGGTGGACGGCCTAACAGGTGTGAGTTCGGAGGGGCTCCTGGTCTCAGGGCGGGTCTCCCACCTTGTTGTTCTGGTGGAAGGACGTCCTCTGACCACAACAAAGCCGGAGAGACTGGCTCGCCCTCCCCCAAAACAAGAATCATTAAGGTGGGAACTCCCCATCTTGTCTGTGTCACTATTTGTGTTTTTTCCAAAATAAAAGTTGGAGAAGTGACCCCACTGTAAACGGTCCCACTGGCCCAGCCGGCATCTGCCTGAGACTGGGCAGCGGGTGGCCGGGCTGGAGCCGACTCTGTGCAGGGACGGGCCTGAGGGCTCGGCCCCGACCAGGCGTGCAGCGCGGCTGCCCCTTCCCCTGCCTGGGCCTCGGCCGGCTTGGCTGCAGGACGAGGTGTCCGTTAGATCTGGGCTCTTCCACTGCTTCGGTGCTGGGATGTTTTGTATCCTCCCCCAAATTATTTAACCTGGAACCCCAATCCTGAGAGCTGATTAAATGGAGCTGCTTTGACAGGAGCAGCTGTGGGACGTAGGGCCAGAGGCCGCCCGCGAGCCTTGCTCTCTACTGACGATGGCCGCCCTGAGACGGCCCTGAGACGGTGTGCGGAAGGGTGCAAGCTCCCCTCGCCCAGTGACCTCTAACCCCCTACTGCCTAGATGACCTGTGACCCTGAACGAGGCCCTGCCTGGGCAAGCAGGGAAGGGCAGGGTTACTGAGCTATGAGTCAGCAGCACAGGCTTGCCAGTGCACACTGAACCCGCGACAGTGCTGGCAGGAAACGGCGTGAGCCACGGGGGTGTAGGTGCAAACCCGGGGTGCTGGGCTGGATGTGGTCGGCAAGGCGGGAGGGCCTCTGGCCACGTGTGGAGGTCATACCCAGGGCCGGGCCGGCCCATCACCACCCGCTGCGGCCCTGGGGTGGGGCCTCTGCAGGCGCGGGCTCCACGCGGGGAGCTAGGACACTCAGCAGCCTGGTCCCCTCACCCGTGATGGTGCCCGGAGGCCCACATGTGGGGGTCCCGTCGCCCCCGAGCCCCCCGCCACTGTGCCTTGGCGGGAGGGGCCTCCCGGGAGGCGCATGGCCAGAGAGCCCCGCTCCCGGGACGGCCCTGGACGTGAGCCTGCTCTCAGGCAGCCCCGTCCCCCTGGGACACGTCTGTGTGGCCCGAGTGGCAAGCAGGGGGAGATGCCGGGCTGCCCCGAGGCTGGGGGTCCATGTCTGCCGGCACCCGTAGCCCTTCAGACAGCTGTTCGGAAGCTCTGACGGGGTTCTCAGGCTCACCCCGGCCCTGCCGCCCCTCCCCCACCCCAGGTCCGAGCCCACCTGCGCCCATGACTCACGAGTTCACGCACAGCACCACGATGTTCTTCCACAGGTTGCGGGTTCCCACCACCTTCACGATGCAGACCTTCTTGGGCCTCCGGGAAAGTTCCTTCTCCAGCTCTGCAGGGAGGGGGGACCCGTGAGCCACGCTCGGCCGGGCAGCCACCCTGACGGCCCGAGGCGCGGATTCAGGGGTCAGGAGGAGTTGAGGGTTTCTCTTTAAGGCAGGGGCAGGGCCCGGCTCTCAGGGCAGAAAACTCGCCACAGAGACACTGACTTGGCAGGTGCAACTGCCCACGGGGCCTGCAGGGAGGCGGCAGGACACACACAGCAGCCACCTGCATGGGCCCCGTCCACTTGGAAGGGCTGCGGAGGCCGCTGGCGGGCGCGGAGGCCCTGGTCGGGCTTGGGCAGGGGTCCTCTTCCTTACAGAGTCTGAGCCCTCTGCTCAGGGACCAGGAGATGCACGCACTGCTCTGGTCCCCAAACCAACTCTGGGGGCCAAACAGGCTGAGGCTGCTTCCTCTGCACCTGCCCCTGCATGGCCCACATATTAGGAGAAGAAATGAGTGACTGAATGAACACGTGTGCACATGCGTGCACAGAGGCGTGGCCCGTGCACATATGTGCGCTGAGCCAGACAGACGGCGTCTCGGCTCAGGTGACGTGACCAACTACAGCTTGGTCGCGAGACCCAGCTTCTCGGGGGGCCCAGACCAGCTCTGAGCAGACGCCAGGCCCACGTCAACGAGGTCAAGGGGTTTGCCACCATCCTGGGGCTGACGGTTCAACAGGGAAGATCCAACGAGGAGACGCCCCAGCCTCCCCATCTTCCGGCATCTGTGAGCAGAAATGCCGCACATTCAGCCTCCGGGTCTGTCCCTGCTCCCCTGGCCGGCCGTGCCCTCGGGGGAGGGGACCCCTTCTCAGGGGCCAGAGAAGAAAAAGGAGACTTAACCAATCAAGACTGCCGAGGTCAGGGGAGGCAAGGAAAGACTGACAGTGCACCGACCACAGGCGGCTGGGAGGTGAGAGCAGGCAGCCCTGGGTGGGATCCTACGGCAGGGTCACTGGGGGTGACGTCCGGTCCAGGCTGCAGCTGGGCTGACAGCAGTGCAGCGATGGCAGTTTCCCAGTCGTAACAGGTGCAGGGGATGTGAGATGTTACAACAGGGAGACTGACTGGGGGTTTTTCAAAATTCTGTGCTCTCTTTGTAACTTTACTATAAACCTAAGAGGAATCCAAAACAAGTTTACTAAAAATAAAGCACGCAGTGGGGTGGGAAGGCCTGGAGGGAGTGGGGTTGCCTTGAGAGGGGCCCAGGAGCTGCAGCCCCCTCGGGGGGTCTCTAAGGTGTGTCCCCCTCCCTGTACTTCTTAGGGGTACTCTCACCCCTGGACGTCCTACCTCTTTCCTGCCATCCAATGGCGAGAGGGTCACCAACCTCACTAGTTACAGCTGGAAGGAGAAAGGGGTTGCTTAACCATAACGGTTTAGGAGTTTTTTAGTTAAAAAAAAGTTTGGATCAGTGTCACCAGCTGGGGCACAGAAGGGAGAAGGGAACACGTGTCCTACGTCCTAGGGATACCATGCTCCCTCAGTTTCCAGAACTTTCTTGCGAGTCAATATTCAGGCACAGAGCTGCAGGCCCGTGCACCAGCCAGAACGTCCATCCATGGACGCTCAGCTCCGGACATCCTCCTGGCTTTTATTATCCACTCTGCGAAAACAGGCTCATTTGATTTACAGACATACTTTCCCCACGGTCAGAACGCTAGAAAACTTTTAAAGAGCACGGAAACAAGGTTAACAAACACATAGCGTTGATCCAATGATCTGAGTATCTTCACTGTTGTGAAACTGGTCAGGAACCTCTTTATCATAGCCACACATGCCCACCATGGAAATCTTCCAGGAAGAAAAACTAAATGTCCATTCGCATGGCTATATAGGTTTAAATTTTTTTTTTTTTTTTTGTAACGCAGCTAAGACTTACTTAATTCCTGATACCTTCTAGTGTATGAAATAGATGTTAAGAAGCTGTAGTAACTGCAATTATGACGTTTCTTTCTTTTTTTAAAGCTTTAAACTCTGGAGCCCAAGCTGACTGTAGTCTACAGAGGTAACTGCATTATTCTAAGTGGAATTACACTAACCTCTCTGGGGCTGTTGGTATGTTGTCTCTGTTACCTGCATCCCCAGCCTCTCGACACCACCACAGACACGCAAGAAGCCATGAGGGCTTCCTGGCCCCGTGCTCCGGCCGACCCAGACCGTCCTGGCCTCTCCCCACCCACTGCAGAGACTCCTTCCTGGGCCTGCGGGGACACCTGCTGACCCCAGAAATTCCCTCTCAATGCGCGAGGCTCCAGCCGGCCCGAGGCCTCTTGCAGGAGCAGGAGGAGGCACGGAGGGTCAGAGGCAGGGCGCCAGGCTTGGCTGCCTGGGGCCGCCTTGGCTTCATCTCCTGCTGGGGTGTGACTGGTGCAAGTCACCTGACGCTGGGGACCGTGAGGTGGCCCGATACAGGGACCCGCTTCTCACCTCGGGTTCAGGACAGACGGACAAGACAGAGTGAGGCACGTGGGGCGGGATCCCCGCTCGGTTACCGAGAAGGGCTCGGGTAAAGCCCCTGTGGGCCTGATGGGGGCCTCGTACCCCCCAGACTCGCTGTCTGACCTGGTGACGCCGGACTCGGCTGCTTCCCTGCGGTCAGGCTGCCCAGAGAGGGCCTGATGCCGGGGACCCCCTCTCTGCACCTGGCTCACGTCCAAGGAGGAAAAGGGAAGATGGTTCACTCTTCCTCGCGGGCTCCTTCCATGCGGAGGGAATGCCGGGAGCAGGGAAGCCGTGCCTCCAACCCTCAGCCTCCTGGGGCCCCTTTCCCGTATGTAAAGCAGGGGCGATCTGATCCGTCGGAAAGGTTCTGATGAGGGTCAAACGCCTGTATGGCGTCTCAGCCCCCGAGGCAGGGCTGAGGGGGGGGCAGCAGGGAGGACAGAGTCAGGGCGGGTGAGAGCCTGGGTTGGGGACTGGATGCTGGTCAGTGGCCTAGATAACATGCTGGGACACAGCATTCAAGCAGGCAAACCGGTCCAGCCTAGGGAGGTGCAAGGGGCCACTTTCAAGGAAACAGACACCCGCCTTCCTCCAGCTTTGCCCTGGTGCCATCGAGTCACCGTCACTGTCACGGTGCGCCTGACAGCTGGGAGGGAGCAGAGACCCAGAGGCGGGTGACAGCCGCGTGCCCCGGGGCGTGAGTGCATGCCACCCCAGCCCCCAGTCAGGTGGGTCATGCGTGCTGCTGCCTGCCCCCCAGCACAGAGACCAGCACCAGCCCAGCTGAGTGAGGATACCACTTTCTAAAAACAGGAGGGAAATGAATCAGCGTAATTAGGATGGAGAAAACCAGCTTCTCCCAGACAATATTTTAACCTGAAAGAAGTGGAGTGTGGTGATTTAATTAGGGAAATGCCAGAAACAAGGCACTTTGACTTAAGAGTGCTGACCTGCTAATGGATGGGCCTGGACAAGTTTGGGGACAAGAGCCAGACACTCCAAAAGGAGCAAACGTGGCCTGAAAGGAGCGAGGTCCACGCACCCCTCACCCCCCGCCCGCCACGCTAGCACGTCCATCTCCCTCTCTCGGAAGCAGCACCGGGAAGCTGCTTCTGCTGGGCTTCCTGGGCTCAAGTCCCAGCGCTACTACTCACTAGCTGTGTGACCTCTGGCAAGATACTCAACCTCTCTGTGCCTCAGTTTCCTCATCTGCAAATGGGGATAATTACAGCACCTTGCACAGAACTGCTGTGGAAAGATTTAAGATAATATCAATACACTTCTAATATTGATATTAGAAGCTTGCTTTTCCTGTAAAAGTCCAAATAGTCAATATTTTAGACTTTGCAGGTCACAATGAATCACTTCTAGTGCTTATTAAACACACAATGTTCAGGGTTCCTTCCATGATCTACTGGATGAGAATCTCTGGGTGCCGGGAGGGGCCCAGGAGTCTGGATTTTAACACTCTCCAGGTGCTCTCATGGATCTGCTAGCTTTTGTGCTGACGTTCCTGACAAACAGGGATTCTATGGACCTGAAGTGTTCCGCTTCCTCAGAGGCCCAACCAATAGGTCCTGACAGACACAGACAACACAGCAGCTCTCTGCAGGTCCTGCAGAGCCCGGGAGAGACAGGGAGTGAAGGCCAGCGCCCCCTGGCCAGGACCGCCGGCACCAAACCGCAGGCAGGCAAGGCTGTGTGCCCCGCGTGGTTCAGCCCTCAAGGTTCCCCCTAGAGGCAGGGGCACGCAAGGTCACGCCGCCCTCTGGGTTTGGACTTGGCCATGTTCCCGGTCTAGCTGAGGACTGACCGTCACAGGAAGCTGGACAGCTGGCTGGGCAACGAAGGCACCAGGGGTGATGTGGGGTGACTCCCGGTCCTGGGGGGATGGGTGGCGGGTCCCCCAAGTCTGGCGGGGCTGTGGGTTTGAAGGGAACACGTGCTCACCAGGCATCACGCCTTTGATGTCGCTCTCGGGGTTCATGCGGTTCTTCTGTGTGAAGTGCAGGATTAGCTTCTTTGCCGATGCAAACTGGTGGGTGGCCATGAGCCACCGCAGGGACTCTGGGAAGATCCTGCAAAGAGAGAGGAAGTGGGTGAGGCTCTTCCCATCGGGTGAGGCGTGAAGACGCAGCTCTGTCGGGGGCTGGGAGCGTCCAGCTGGGTCGGACTGGGTATCCGTCTGCGAGCGGCAGAGGCTGGCGGGCGCTCAGGACTCTCTTTGGCCCAAGCAGACGAGAGAAGACCGTGGCCCTGGATGTTTCTGGTTTTCTCTCAGAAAGTAGAATTTGCGATTTTTAAAATGAGGCAGAAAAGGAGCAGCATCCTCCCAGCTGTGTCAAGAAATCTGTGTATGCTTTTCACCAGGCGCTGGATTACTAAAACACGTTCCAGCAGTTCATGGAAGGGCTGCTTTTGTGATATTTTGTCTCAAAAAACAAATGTTCGTAGAATGATTTTAAGTTTAAAAAAAATGCCCCCCATCCTAGCAACCTGACAGGCACTTTCCGTTTTGAACATCTGGAGCCTGACTTTCCCAGGGCTCAACTGTAGCAACGGCTTCATCTGGCTGCTAACTGCCCAGTACACGCCTCCCTGAGGTGGGTGATGTTTTTCAAGTGTAATTAGCGACAGACTCCTTGCTGGTTTGTTCGTGTTTAGGATGAAATCCGGTGAGGAGTCCCGTTGGAAAAAAAAAACAAAACCAAACTAGTGTCTCATCAATGCGTTTTGTAATTTTACATTTATAACGAGATTTGCAAGTCCGTCAAGGAGAACCGTGTGCCTGTCTGGAGCAGGGGGTCAGCTTGCTTTTTCTGTCAAAGTCCAAAGAGTGAATATTTTAGACTTTGCAGGTCACAAGGTCTCTTGAGAAACCAGCCACTGCCACATGCCCAGGGATGGAGGCTGTGTTCCCACAGGACCTGATTTTGAAGCAGGTGGCACCCCTGTGTGGGAGAAGCAAAAGCTGGAAGTCAAGGTTGGGGATGACAGCATAGCCTCTGCGGGCACGGCGCTCCAGGCGTCCCTGTGTTTCATGTCAGTTACAGAGTGTCAAGGAAGCATGACTGATGATGATAAGAAGTTACCTTTGCTACTACCCAACACCTGCCCTACCAGCTCTGGGGGGCCTCTAATCAAAGTAAGGCAGAAGCTGCAAAAGCTATCAGTGGTAAATTTTTATTTCAGAGTCACATCACTAATGATGTAATGGCTGTTACTCCCTTACCTGTTTGAACAAAAATCAAGTTTCTAAATGTTCATGATGTATTTTCCAGAAACAGCTGACTTCAGTGGTACATTGGGATGGTCTGATCAGAGTGTTAATCTACGCTGGGAGACCTGGGTTGTCACCAAGTGTCAAAAAGCCACCGTCCCACGTGGCTGCACAAAGGTGCAGGCGAGCTGGGGGCCCACCCTGGTGAGGTATGGCCGGAGCATTAAGACGGGCTCAGAAAGTCTCATGTCTTTTCGCTCAGGAGCCCATATTGGAAAGCTGATAAAACACAGGTTTCAAACTGTAAGCACTGATTTTTTTTTTTTTTTAAAATAATAAAAGTTAATGTTTGCTTTACTAGCCTCTAGTTTTTACAAATTAATTTTGAATATAATTCAAGCAAACAGAAACACTCACAATATAACATAACAGACATCAATATTATACACATATTAACATCTTGCCATATTTTATCAGATCTTTTCTTTATAATGAAATAACCTAACACAAATGCCCACCCCTATAGCTCTCACCTATGTTATCTCCATCCATCTTTCTGATTTATTTGGGTTTAGTGTCACTTTCTCATTTCTTAAGATAGACACACAGATCATTAATTCTTTTCTAATATATGCATTTCAGACTTCAAAATTTCACCTAAGTATCACTTTAGCAACACTTCACAAGTTTTGATAAGTAGTTCTTGCTCTGATTTGATTATAAATATTTTGTGATTTCTATCAGGATTTTTCCTTACCTATGATAGCCCGTTAGACAGACAGACAGACAGACGTATCTCATATATATACATAACACTTCCAAACATACCGGTTTTGAGAGGGGGGTAGTGGCGGGGTTGCAATCTTGTTTCATTGACTTTTAATTTTATTTAGTCATTTTGAGAAAACACAGTCTGTGTTACTGCAAACTGGTACAACCAGAACCCTGGATCCAAGAGGAGGAACGAGAAGGAAAGGAGAGAGGCAGGGCCCAGGGAGGGGAGGACCTGAGGTTATGGAGGGGCAGCAGCCCTGGGACCGGGATGAACCCGAGTAAAGAAACAGGGCTCTCCCAGGAGACCTGGGCACAGCGACCAGGGCTCTGTTAGCCACACGTCCCGTCTCTGGTGGCGGAAAGCACTGCAGGCCGCTTCCCCCACGCCTGCCTGGCCTACACTCACCCTTCTGCACGTTTCCCATGAATTTACGTCTTTCCAGCTCATTATGTTGTAGTAACATTATCCTCACTTCACAGATAGGAAAACTCAGGCAAAGCACTCAAGGATGTGTTCCAGGGCGGTGAAATGCAGAGCTGGATTTGACCCCAGGCAGTCTGACTCAGGACCCCACATCCTTAACCCCGGGGGATGCAGCAAAGAAACCAACCCCGCGTGCGGAGACATCGCTCCCATGACTTGGGGTTTGGGAGATACCGTTCCAGCACCACATCCTCGGCCCTTCCAGATGCCACGGTGCCCTCTGGGTTTTTACACCTGCTGCAAAGTCATAAAGAGCTCGCTGAATTGTCAGCCTTTGAGAAAGCCCAGAGATGGTGGTTCTAGCTTGGATAATGTGCAGTGTGGCCACATTATGGGAATTTAATGAAATGCCTGCTGACAGGCACATAATGTAGTAACACCATGAAAATTAAAAAACTGGCCAGTGGCCCAGGATCTGGCAGGAGTGTAGCTGAGCCTCAGAAATACCCAACATTTTCAACAAAAATAAAAGAGCACAGTAGGCAGCTGGAGCCCACGTCTGCTGGTGGACCCTCACGTGTGGATACTAAGAAAAAGCGACCTTGAGGATGACCTCTGCGAACACAGTAATGTGCATAAAAGCCACAGCGGCACCTCTAGGAAGGAGCTTTGCCGTTGCTGCCAGAAGGGGCGATGGCTACGGGGACAGGCAGTGGTCCCCAGAGTGGGTGGAGAGACAGGAGTGTTTGAAAGCTGGAAGTATCTGGTCCTCTCGAGCGCATTGTGTGGCAGAACTATCATCACCCCTCTTCCACAGATGGGAAAACTGAGGCAGAGCAGGTTCAAGTACGTTGCCTGGATTATGTAGCTATTAAAGGGGCAGAGCTGGATTTGAACTCGGGAGACTTTCAGGCTGTGATCCCTCCAAGCCAGGGGTTCAATGGCTCCAGGGCTTCTGCGGGAGGGTGTGGGCAAAACTAAAAGTCTCCTCTCGTCCAGTTCAAGTCCTAAGCCCCTGGCGGGAAGCGAGGGCGCAGGAAGGGCAAGCGCAGAGCCCTGGGCGGAAGTCCCACCCCCTCCCTGAGGATGGACACAGGCTGATGGACCTCTCGCCCCAAGGCACGTGGTCCTGAGGCCTCCGAAATATATTCAGGATGGTTAGAAGGTCCAGGATCCCTCATTCGCAATTCCAGGATCCAGAAGATTCTGAAACCTAAAACCTCTTCATTTAACTCACTTGGGAAAGACCTGAACTCCCTGAGGCAGAACGGGACCTACTGGGTACGAGCGTCAGCCTCGGGCATCGCTCTCCTGAGATACAGACACTTCCCTGCAGAAGTGTGAGCGTCCGGTGGACACGTCAGCATCCCCACGGGCGGTGGCGGGGCTGCAGGTGGACGGTGCCACCCCTTCCCGGCAGCAGGCATGAGTCACAGGTGCTTAAAGACTTCAGCCACGAAGTTAATTTTTAATTAAGCAAATCACAGATAAACCCATTCTCTACTTAAAAACTAAAATATTCCAGAGAACTCCGCCCCCCTCCTGCCCCAGTCCTGGCGCCCCTGCACTGCCCTCCCCGCCCCGAGCTGACCCCTGCCCTGTGGGTGTGCATCCTTCCAACCACTGGAGCCCCGTTTATCTCTGCTGTCACACTGCCCCCACCTTCAGTAGAAAATGCCTGTACGCTCTCCAAAATCCCCTTCCTTCCAGATGGGCACACAACTGCCCCCGTGGTGGTCCAGAGACCGTCACCCCAGGGGTGTGCACGGTGGTGTCCACCCCGAGATCCTGGGAGGAAGCCACGCTCACATCCTACCTGTGCACTGGGGACACCAACGCAGGTCAGTCCTACCTGGGCCACCTCGTTTCCCAGCGCATCCCGAGAACATCCAAACTCCGCCTCGATCTACAGGCCATGAACCCCGTGGCCTCAGTTATTCCACGAAAGCCAAGAACCAGAAATTTAAGGAAGAGGCTTTGACTGAACGCCAGGGAGGAGGACGCACTGCAAACCCAGGCTTTCTTCAGAGGAGAACCCCCAGGCCTCACTCAGACAACCGAGTCCTGGGTCAGGAAGTCCCAGCCGGTGATGGGGGTCGGGGAGGCGGTGAGGGGCAGAGAGGCTGGGCAGGGGCAGCAGGAAACCCCCAACTGGGAAGACACGGGCTTCCCGACCTTGCCCGGGGGCACCAGACTGCACGCCACACCACAGACCCTGGCTGCAGGATCACACTTCTGCAGCACACGCGTGTCTGTTGACATGATGAAAACCCTCGAATCACTCACAGAAGAAGGCAGAGTCACACATCTGGACTTGACACCCGAGGGGGTCTCTGATTTGCACTTAGCCTTTCTCCGGTGGCACTGATTCAAAGGTCTGGGACCTGGTCTTTGAATCCCTAGGGCAGCGTCACTTTTCCCACTTTAGGCTTACAGTACTACTTAAAAAGCGGGAAAAAATATTTTAGAAAGATGCCCACCCTGGGGGCTTCCCTGGTGGCACAGTGGTTGAGAGTCCGCCTCCCAGTGCAGGGGACACAGGTTCGTGCCCCGGGCCGGGAGGATCCCACATGCCGCAGAGCAGCTGGGCCCGAGAGCCATGGCCGCTGAGCCTGCGCGTCCGGAGCCTGTGCTCCGCAATGGGAGAGGCCACAGCAGTG